CTTGATCGCATCCAGGGTGCTATCTGTCGGGGCATAGGCAAAGACGACGAAGAAACATCGTTTCTCACACCGATTTCTTCTCACTTTCTAATCTAACAGCACATAACCGACTGTTAATGGGGATCCAATCGATTAGTGCTGCCTCAGCTCTATTGCTTAGTGCGACACCAACACCAGCAAGACCAGACGAAGATACCACGGGGTCCCCGGATAAACGCACGTAAGACAAGCCTTTTGAAGCGACAGATGGAGATCGAATTTGTAGTACTTCACCAGAGTCTTGAATACGGGTCTCGGATAGACAACAGACGTCGATATTAAGACTTTCTAAAGACATTTCCAGCCATATCTGTTGTCCGATCTGCATTAGTGTGCGAACGTTGAAGGCAGCCAATTTGAATGGTATATGTGGTTTCAGAAAAACTGATTTAGTACTCATATTCGGTGGTAACATACAATTTTCAACCGGACAGTGACTCAAGGACGTTTAGATAGAACAGAGTTTCCACCATAAGAGAGCTGCTGTATAAATTGAAAAGTAAGGATACGCAAAGTGACAATGGAAGAGGGTAGATAAGTGACTTAGTACAAAAAAATTAAAGTGAATGTTATCAAAAGGTATGGGCTGTTTTCATTGTAATAGGAGTGATAGCAGAATATCCAATAATCATTGTCATTTCATTCTCATTGTGTGAGGGCTATGATACTGCCTGGGTGCCCAGACCGAAGCAGGTGGTTTCCTTAGGTGACCACACATCGAGCCTTCGACCTAAAGGCAGTTGAGAAACGTGAAATGCAGTCTCATGGTAGCCGGTGACCAACAATTGGTTCATACGCCATTTGTTCCCTCAGGATACTGGAGCCCATGTGCACCATTGGTTTGGAATCACGGTTTTCCAACTCCCCTAGGTAAACTTACCGTGTCCATCGGCTAGGTTAGCGTTGGACATTCGCTTTTCGTCCCCTAAAATTCGTAAACAACACCCCCATCACGAGAAGGCAGTTAGTGGGACTTCCCTGTCAGAGGCTGTATACGCGTGGCCATGGGAGAGCATTTCAAGTGGGAGGGCAGGCCCTTCCCACTCTCGGGAGTACCAGGGCATTTGGGGGCACCTACTGTCGTTGCTTTTTGCATAAGACCCCATGCAGTTCCTAGCGATCTTTCTTTGAAATATGTGATGACTGCGCTTATAATGGCTAGTGTTGGTGCATAACCTGTCATTACCTTACCTTTCTAATCGAGGACCAAACATCTAAACTATAAATCACTCGGTGAGTGAAGCAACGCTTTGACAACATAGGTTACGTAGAACTGCAGACACATAGATGAAGATACTCATGTAAACCTCTCTTTAGGAGACTTTTGCGTTCACTTCCATTAGTAGATACTAAGAACTGATAGCGTTGTTGTGACTATATAGCCAGTGCGTTTACTCTGTTTTCTCTTAGATCTTAAGTTCCTAAATCCCCTTTATTATCTGACTAATTTGTTTTCTCGAATTGTATCTTCAATAACTAATCTCCACAAGCATTAATATTGTTATATCTATTACCTTGGGATTCCCCCTGACGAATTCATCTGGCTGTGTTAATGAGTTATGACGACTTAAACCGATGTACACATGTGGCAGGTTCCACGTTACGTTTGACTGACTAATATCTCCCAGAATACTACTCAGTGATAGATACTCAAGCTCTTAGATTATAATCCTTTTCCAGAGATTTCAAAACAACCAACTCGAAACCTGAAGGATAAAGATTTAGCGTTATTAGGCGCGCCTGAAGATATATTCACTTATGAGCTGATAGTTTAGTTGGTCTAAATATGAAAATATTTAGGAGCAAATTGCGTCATAACACTTTATTAAAGGTTAAATAAAACCACCAGACTGTTTTCAATGAGTTGTATTAATTCCCCATTTGGGTTATTGGGGGGATTGAAGGCACATAAGTTCTATTGGTCGCTGAAGAGGTTTGTCCTGCTGATTGTGCTTTTAATGATACTATCATTTTACAATTCACATACTTCTTTATATACGTTGCCTTATTTTTCATCTGATTTGGCTTATCGTAATCCTCGGATCGATCTTCCATATAGGATTGACTGATCAATCAAAAACGCATCATACCTCAACGCAATTACTCAGCCTATAACGCTTCTGCTACCTGTGAACACTAAGGCGTCCGGCTTAATTGATGTTATTGTTTTTAACTACCCAACTACTGTGATATGATAAAGTAAAATTATATTTGCTTTCCTGAACGGAACTAGATGGAAACAAATATTGCCCGAACATGCGCAATAAAGGAATAACAAAGGTCAGACAGCTTTAATCTCGTATCTTCATTAGCCAATAATTCGACTCTGGGAAAACACTTCAGATACGAACTCTTTGCAGCACTACACAAAGAGCATCGAATTACTTATTGAATTCCTCACATAATCTTTATGAAGAACAACCATGCTTTCGGATTACAGTCATTTTGATTTACTAGACAAGATAAGGATAGTAGTGTGCAACATTAATCATAAATGTATTGATGGGGATGGTGCTCTTCTGACAGTTAGCGAAGAGTATTTTTTCATTAATTCTGCTGATGGATCTAAAACATGCAGGTAATCTATTTCTGTTACATAAAAACACTGAGAAGTATAATTAACATTGATAGATGTATATGTTTCCAACCTGTCAACATAAGGATAGTCAACTTATATTAGGCATGAGCTTATCGACCTTATTTTTAGGGTTATATCGGTACTCATTAACCCGCTAATGACAAAATTATAACAATACATAAAAACTACTTGCCATCAGATTATTATCGTACATATGAGCCAAGAGGGCAATTGACAATCGTCTACAGTTTTTCGAACCTTAGGCAAGACCTGCAAGACTAAAAAACACGGGAATATTGCAGATGCTTGACTGTTGGTACACCATGTTATTAGAACTCAGGAAAATGTTGGCTTATGCAAGATTTCCCTTAAATGTATTTACCTTCCTGTTGGTCTGAATGCGCGTTGGTGCGACTTGTGGAAACGAGTCAACAGTTTATGCACCGCTTTAAGGAGCTATCTGTCTGCTCCCCAAACGTCTGTTAAAATAACTTGACATAACCCATAGAACCAAATGACATCGATCATGAGGAACACATGTTTTTCTATGAGAATAGCATTTTATAACGTAATTTGACCTGACACTAATATATTTTCGCGACTACCATTCACACAAACTTCTAGTTACCAAAACTACTTTGCGTCTCAACGAGTTCCAAATTGTGCCGGACACTTGCTCATGCCAATCTGTTCAAAATGGTCTTAAACAATTAATCACTAAATGTTTACTACACAGTAACAGTCTCGTAGGTGTAGATAAATGCAGATGTAGTGAAAGGTCTGTGCAATGTCGAAAGATAAGTTCGTAGCATAGAGTTTTCAATGTGGTTCACAGTTATCGTAATTTATTTTTCATGTAAATGAGCATTAGTGAGTCCGATTATTCTTATAGAAGTATATAAAACATCTAATTTTCCTGAAAAATCAGTGAATTGCCGCAGGATTCAACGCAACCAACTTAAACCCCAATTCCCTAGTTTTCTAAATCAAAGCTACCTAACTGTACTTTTTGGTCACCTTTATCCTAAAGAGATTCAAAATCAAGCCGAAGGCTAAACAACTGGACGTAAAAATTCTAGTAGTTTTAACTTTTGTATACCGCATGGTGTGATGACCTTTCTTAGTACGTGATAAAAGTGAACGCATAGAAAGATAATAACCTAGATGTAAAACATACATTACTTAGACCAGCTGACAGAACCGACTCATAATTCTTACAAATTCACATCAAATCTTCAGTGAGGATGTCCAGACGATTTATGTAGATGTGACACCAGAAATTAAACATCTCAAACGATGTCGTCATTTGATGAAGGTGTAAAGTGACACACAATGGTACTTACTGTAGCATACTCTTCAACAGTCAACTGAATATCTTGCAGTATGTACGGACAATTGTCAAACGTGTGGTTTGACATAATGTAAAACTACATTACAGTTTATTACTTGTCCTCAACATAAGCAAACTACTACTTAAGAGCAAGTAGACAAAAGACTATCACCTAGAGACAGTGGTTTGCCGAAAAAGATGTCCAACAAATGACCAAGTCAAAAAACAGACAGCAAAACGACTGGAAGTTCTGGTCTTCATTTAATCAACAGACTATCATTACTGAACAAACTCCTTAAAAGACATACTCGATAACAAAGTGAGGTCCATTTTCATCTCAGTAGCCAACAAACAACTACATGGTAGGCTCGGTCGCCTATAGCCCCCAAACACCTGGCACGGCCGAGAATAGGGAGAGTCAGTTCTCCCTCTCGAAATGCTCTCACACGGCCACGTGCATACAACCACTGCCATGGAAGTCCTACTCACTGCCTTCTTGCAGCGGTGGTGTTGTTTAAGAAATCGAGAGGGCAAAAAGCGAATGTCCGGCGCTCTAACCGGATTGGTGGATACAGAGGACCCACCTAGGGGAGTTAGAAAACCCTGATTCCAAACCAATGGTGCACATGAGCTACAGTATTCTAAGGAAACAGATGGCGTATGAACCTATTGTTGGTCACTGGCTACCATGGGACTGTATCTCCTTACATTACCCCACCTTCAGGTCAAAAGCTCGATGTGTGGCCTCTTAAGAAAACCACCTGCTTCGGTTTGGGCGCTCGGACAGTATACCAGCCCTCATATAAACCACTTGATTTATGTGACGAATATCTATTCGGTGCCCTGTTGTACCGATGTTTATGTTTAAAAAAATAAACAAATAAACTACATGCCTTTTCACAAACGGTGTTTTATGGAAACTAGAAATTCTGTCAGGTGACGATGAATATGCCTGTCATTTGCACTCATGTTGTGTGCTATTCCAGACTTATTTAACCACGCCACTTAAGTGTCTGAATAAGACCTGAAATGGTGGAAAACGACAGTCAGATGGTGAACACTAAGGATTATCATCAACTCGATTAAATACTGGTCGTGGAACCCAGTTCTATCATCAAGAGCACGTTTCCAGGACTTCTATAGTAGATATGTATTTAACTAACTTTTTCAAATGACTGTTACAACAATATCTATTTACTCCACGGTCGTTCTAGAATGTAGTATCATTCCATATGGAACACCAAAAGCATTTTATTCGTGAACATGTGCACCTTTTCTCTTTGACCGCCTATTTTCCTCGTTAGCCCATTCAATCACCATATAGCATAAAACAAAAGCTACAAAAAGAACATTTTAATTGAATTGATGACTTACGAGTACCAACAACAAGTACTTTCTCCCTAAATCTCCTCATTAGATTTGGGAACCCATGTGTAAAGAATCCTGCAAAGGCTTTTTGTTCGTAAGGTGATAGTGAGTACGTTATAACACCTCGGCGATAGTTCAAGTGACCGAATTTCATTCTTGTTGCAAACACGTTGAACAAGCCGCTTCAGCTTGGGTTTTGATACTACTTGTATTGACCTTGACAATGCAAGTCAGTCAGTTGCCTCGTCGACAAATGAAGCTTCAACCACATGTTAAGATAAAAAGATCCCAATGATTAGCGGTTCGAGAGGGAAATGTATACTCAGTTCACAAAGAATTAGTGCAAGGACTGAATATTCTGGAATATACTAGTATGTTCTACGTTTTAAATTCAAGAAAAATAAAGACGTCAATCTTGAATATATTAATCAGTTTAAGAACTGCGATCAAGTCAGCTTTAGGTTTGGCCTTGATACTTCCATGAACGATAGGGAGGCTGGAAAGGACGACACAAAGCTTAACGGCACAAGACGTTTTACCCAGAGATTTCGTTTGATGATCCTTGAAAATTTCTGCTGAAGTGTTTCCTTTTAACTCAATGTTCAGATAAACTTCATCATATTATCTCTATTTAGTTTTCGACCATGAAACAACTTTCTTTGACACGTGATGCGGCGTAAGCATCTTCATATCTCTCAATAGACTATTTTATTTGTACATTAGGCAGGGACGTGATTATTCAGCTTTAGTAGATGACATCATCGAAAAATATTTTTTCCCTGAATTTTCTAAATTCAGTTTAGCTAGTCTGTCATCACAGGGAAGGTTAACTATTCCATGTATATCGTTCATAAAACGTCACTTGGCGCCTTCGTTTTCCATGTATACCACCTTCTGCCGATTACTGCGAATATTTAACCTTGATTAGTAGTCATACTTAGCTGATTAGCTTGACTGAAAAAAGTAGATGATCAACTGCGAACATGGTCGATTGTCATAGAACTTTAACAAGGACTATCAGCATTTAAATTCTCCTATGTAACATGTTTGTTGAAATATAAAACACTGATGAGTATAGACAAAAAACACAAACGCGTGTTAATATGTAGGTCACGCACTTACAGACATTAAAACTCGACTGGCTATCGATTCTAAATTTGTCTCCTTATTTGTTTATTTTAAGCGTTATTTTTTCCGGTACAAAATTTCCTTAAAATATTTTGACCCAGGCACCGGTCGCCTAATTTCCAGTTCCCTAGTTCCCTGGTTAAAAAGAATATACGAATATCAGAGATCACGGTGAGATTAAATTATAAGTTTAATCCAATCTCCTTAAAGCAGTTTAGGAAGATTTAAACTGAGTGGGCGTTTGAGTCAACCGTTTGGTCACCATTTGTTCAAGTATTCTAGAGGCTTGCTTAGCGTGTGACAAAAATTTTGTGTTTAATTTGTTCAGGTTTATCGATATTTTCAGTATAAACTTCTGATTCGGAAGGTTAAAATCAGTATTTTTGGTATATTTTAGTGTCATGGTGTGCCTTTGCTTTGTTATTTGTGGTTTTGAAAAATGAGAGGAGGTCACGTATAATTTGTCTCGGCCATTAGGGATCCAGTTTCCATGCTTCCCACCTATCTTCATATGATAGCTTTGGAGTGGTAAGTTTTGTTAAAGGATATGTATATTCTCAGTTTTCTGTCGGCCTAGGGAATATAACTGAGCAGTATTCTAGTGGAGCTGAACACATACAGTGTATAGAGTCATTTTGGATTCATTTAAATAGAAGTTACGATTGATAAACCCAATATGTCTACGGGCAAGTGGGTATTACAATGAACATCATCCAATTCTATGCGTCTACCAGCGATTACAATGAGGACGTTGAAGATCAGTTCTATGATAAGCTGCAGTCAATCGCTGAAAAATGTCCAACAAGGGACTTGACTATTCTGATAGGAGACATAAATGCAAAGGTTGGAATGGACAACACTGGATATGAAGACATCATGGGAAGACATGGACCAGGAGGAAGGAACGAAAATAGTGAGGGATTTGCAGACCTGTGTGACTTCGTAAAACTGGTCATAGGCGGCACCATATTCCCACATAAGCGCATTCACAAAAGCACATGAACTTCACCGGATCACACTACACAAAACCAAATCGACCATACCTGCATCAACAAAACGTTCAGGAGGAAGTTCAATATGGCCTTTCTTCAGGATACTGACAAACTCAACAAATTCAAGATAATCCTCAGCAATAAGTTCCAGAAGTTTCATGATCTACTCAGTGGAGAAGGAACTACTGTGGAGAGCAACTGGAAGGGGATCAAAGAAGCAATCACTTCAACATGTCGTGAGGTCCTGGGCCACAAGAAGCATCATCACAAGGAATGGATCACTGTTGATACACTGGATAAGATTCATGAAAGGAGGAACAAGAAAGCAGCAATCAGTACCAGCCGAACAAGAGCAGAAAAAGCCAAGGCACAAGCTGAATATGCAGAAGTAAACAAACGAGTGAAGAGGAACATCAGAACCGACAAACGTAAATATGTGGAAGACTTAGCAATGACGGCGGAAAAGGTTGCAAGAGAAGAAAGCCTGAGACGGTTATATGATACAACATAAAAACTCGGTGGAAATTACCGTAAACCAGAATGACCAGTGAAAATCAAGGAGGGCAAATTAATCACCAACATCAAAGAACAGTGAAACAAGTGGGCAGAGCACTTCGAAGGACCCTTGAATTGACCAGTTCCACGGAACCCACCAATATCGAAGTAGCACCCACGAACCTTCCAATCGATGTTGGCCTGCCAGCAATTGAAGAGATCAGCAGGTGACCTCACAGATTATTCGGCTCTTCCATCGCACCTCGAATTCAGTAGAAAACTGACAAAGTAATATATCACATACAAGTACTACCAAACCTTTCTCAAAATGTACTTGCAGTATATAAGTCTTATTCCCCCGTAACCTTCCTTTCAAATGCTCCAACTCATGCGTATATGTTTCTTAGCAAGTTTGTAACTAGGGTCTCCGAATTTTAAAGGGTCAAACGTTCTGGAAATGACTATCGAACAAGCTATGGGGCACTCTAACTGTTTCCATAGTTTTCTGGTCCTCATAAAAATGTTCTTCCTGAAACCCATAGTTCTGCAAACTTTATAGATTCTCCGAAGCGTCAGTTGGATAGCCGTGACACCGTGTCACTTGATGCACCGATTTACTTACTTCCCTGAGGCTCACCACTGTCAATCCGAGACGATTGGGCATACCAATCTCAGAGTTAGGATGGATCGGATTAGTGGATTTAGAGTATTGGGCCTTTGAATTACAGGATGGTTATTTAATGTTGGGTGGCCGTAATAAAAATGCTAGGGTCGAAAGATGTTTGAAGGTTAATACTGATCGTACTTCGCGTTTGCAGCAAGTGATTATCAGTTTTACTGGTGCGTCGTCGTATAATGTGACAAATTCGTTTTTATTCTGAAAAGAATTGACTGTAAATGCATAATTTGCTTTCCACTTGTTTGCATACATCCTTCTTACCCCCCTTCTGTTCTTTAAGTGTCAAGTTGGGAGTAAACTATATTCTGACTACAAGAGAGGTATGGTTTTACTCGTATTCTTACGGAGCAACTGGGCGGTAGCTTCTGCTTACACTCTCAGTAACGAAGGTCCTGTATAAAATGTTACGAGACCATCCTCCAAATGAACGTGTTCTTTCCGACTATGAACATGATTGTCCTACAAGTAGAACTTATAGGGCGAACTTACTGATTACTTTCATAGCCGAAAACCCTTGGTGGCGAACAATCATACTGTTAATTCAGGCTGTCAGGATTTTTTCAACCCGTTTGAAAGTTTTTTATAGAATTCTTTGTTTCAAAATAACATCGGTAGGTATCAGTGTGTGGTTAATGAAGTGGCTATGGAACTAATTAATTAGAAGATTAAAAAATACCAGAGGTACCCCTGGTTCATCTTTCTGGCTAACAGTCAAGACCAAAGTACTGTTTTATGTTTTGTTTGAGCCACTTCCTTTTTTATTATAAGTTTGGAGTTGGAGTCCGGCTTTTATAGTCATGGGTGTGCACTTCAGAAGAATCTCATGGTAGAACGAAATGAACGTTCAGTGTTTCCAGGTTTTCAATGATGGTCATATGCTGGTTGGTTCATAATCTCAGTTGATCTTTTTAATTTTTTAGCAATGAATTGCTTAGCATCATGAGTTTCCAGACTCTTCTATGTTCAAACGATATTCAAATTTAGAATACGATACGAAGCCTCTAATATTTCTTACATCTTCTAGAAGACATGAGTAGAACAAATGATTGGACCATCAGAAACGTACTAACTGTTAACAACTTTAAGTGTGTTAAACTTGTACCATACTCAGCACAGAAAGATATCGAGATTACCGTCATGATGTTTTAGATTATTCACAATCCTTTTTGTCTTAAAAGCTTACTTAAATGTATGCCTAAGCTTTGAACACGAAAGAGCACATATATGAATTTGTGTAAATCTAATCGTGATTAATATCTATGAGTTGTGGAACTTCCTACAAGTTACGTTGGTGCTGCCATTCGCCGGATTTACACAAATTCTTGTCGTTTTCTTTAGTTGAATACCGATCAAGGAATACTACTCGATTACTCCTCACAATAATAACTGTCTTCACTCTTTAGGCAGTAAAGAAATTAAACACGAGTTATACTCAACTGTTACCAAGGACTACTTTCTTTAACCCAAACACATCTTAAAAAGCAATAGATTGTCTATTTCTGTCCATATAAGTTTGACGTCTGAAAGTTAGTGTTCGAAGGTTGTTGTAGAAGAAGCGGTTCTTTCTAAAATCTAGGTCGAAATGGTAGTCCTCACTGTTTAGTGCTCCGTCTTTAGAATGGAGGAGGAAAACATTGACCAGTCATATGATTCAGATGAATCAGACGATTACAATTATATGGAGCCGGAATATGATGTGGAGAGTGACAGGTATGGGTAAATTTCATTGTTTATGTTATTACATTCAGGTTTTGTTCCGACAGACTTCATCCTGAGTCTTTTCTGTACAAAGCCTTTGAAAGGAATGAAGTTGAAATTTTCCTGAACAGCACAGTTGATACCCTGTGTAACTTAATCAACGTATGTTTCGTTTTGCGCGTTGCTCAAACATAGAAAGGTTGTCAAAAATATGATCCAGTAGTGTTGAATGGTCTTTGGAAATCATTAACAA